CTTTCTGCTCTGCAAGCTGCCCAATTACATTTATTATTTGTGAATAGAATATAATTTTATATAAAGAAAAAACATTGTGCTAGAAATAGTTGGAGATAAAGAACAGTATTCATGCTCAGATGTCCATTAAACAATACCATCAGGAGCAGAGCTAACACGGACCTCTAAATTATCAGAGATGGGATCAGGTGCCATGGAGGAGTGAACACCGACCGGTTACACCCTCCTTGTTTCCCTGTCATGATTAAAAAATAACGGAAAAATCAGATGACTTTTGTTGAAACATTCCTTGAGTAGGATGTGGACAAATTAGGGGATCGATATATCACATATATATACATGAAATTTCTGTTGAGAAATAGCAGGGCAAGACTAAATTCCATTTACATGCAAACATTCCAAAATTATGTGGACCGATACAAATAAACTTTAATATTCAATAAATGTCACTGGGGTTATGGTAGGGCTAAAATAAAGATCAAATTTTACATAAAAATGTATAAATGGAAAAGACATCTTCAAAATAGCAATTATGTAAGGACATAATGACGATAATATTGGTAATAATTCATCTTCTGGATGAGTGGATTCAAGTTCGATTATATCGTGACTCCACTGGGCTAGAGAGGGACTATAATATTGGGTTTGGAGAATATCAGCAGTCTCGTTTCAAGCCATCATTTCTTAAGTTTTATGGTCGATACAATGACCTTGTCAGCAAATACAATTTATCATTGAGTCAAATACTGACTGACGTTTTTCATACAAATTGTTAGTCCATTATTTATATACTGAATTGACGACGGATTTTTTCGTTATTTCCCGATTATGACAAGGAGCACACAGCGGGTGTGACCGGTCGGCAGAGGATGCTCACTCCTCCATGGCACCTGATCCCACCTCTGATGTTTTGGAGGTCCGTGTTTGCTCTGCTTCTATTTTGTATTGTTTTATGGACTTTTGATCTTGAATACTGTTCGTTATCTCCATATGCTTCTTTCTTTATGCGAAAGTAAGGGTTAGTGAAATTTTTTAAATCATCTGAAGAAAAACAGCATGGTTTTGTTGATTCAGGCTAACATTGAGGCCCGTGGGCCTCTTGTTGATGCCACACATGAATGGCAGGAATCGGGATTGTTCAAGACACTTAATCATTGTGCAAATATTGGCTAGCAATCCGACGTTGTAAGAGGAAGACATGGGAAGAGAATTATGTAATACTCAGACACTCCAATCGATAGATGGGAGGAGACAGGTCTGCACTTACAATAAGAGGAGTTCCAATATTTATCTCAACAAAAAATCTATGCCCTACTCCCCAGAAAACACTTTTCTGACATTTTACAACTTTTTTATAATTTGAACAAGGTTCTTCAATCGTGTGTGCCATTGTATATTCTTACTTTCTTCATGACCTCGCATCAGTTACTTTTATAATACGATATTCAACGTCAGTCTCAACTTACTTTTTTATTGAAACACTTTTCATTTTCGACTAAGCATCCCTCAACTAAAAATTAAAAAAGAAATAAACCTTCAATATCTTATCTTTTTTTCCCAGTGTAAGTAATTGATGGCTGATTGAACCAGACGATCTGTATGTACAGGTTTTACATCGCCAGCATGAAATGCTATAATCTTTATTTCACTCTGAGAAGTGAAGCATGCCTGAGTAAAGTTTTACCCATAGTACCATAATATTCATTTCTCCTTTTTCTAATATATTTAATATAATTGCAATCGTACATGGTGATATATATACTTGTGAATATCTGAATATATGGAAAAACTAAACGGTGAAATCGAAGTTAAACTTACATTATTCTAGTCACATTGAAAGTCGTGTACAATGTACACATTCAGTTTGTAAAGTATGACCTCAGTAGATCGACTTAGTAAAACGTCAGTCAGCATTTTATGATAGATTGTACTTGCTAAAAAGTTCATTGTATCGACCATAGAACTTACAAAATGGTGACTTTAAACGAGACTGATTATCTTGTTTCATCAACTTATTTGTCATGAGCCTGCGTCTTTTTATAAATTTTTCGTGTATGCGTAGAGCATGTTCCTGTTAATCGATTCTACTGAGAGACATAATGCCCATCATACATGTGATATGTGTATACATGACTGTATTGAAATCATGCTAGTCACAACTACACGGTTTTTTTTTCGTGCGGTACAAGAGGAACGGTTTATATATATTAAGTATATTAAATTATTTGGATGTTTTTATCCATTGCAATAAAAACCATTAGTTCCTAAAGCCATGTCAATGTCAAATAGTGCGGCAAGGGTATTGCTGAGGATGGGATCAAATTTTTTTCTGCTAAATAATGACGATAATGACTATTTTTCCGTAATTTCTCGAGCATAACAGGGAGCATACGGCGGATGTTACTGGTCGGTAGGGGATGCTCACATCTATATGGCGCCTGATCCTGCCTCTGATGTTTTAGAGGTCCAAATTTGCTCTGCTCCTATTTTGTATTGTTTAATGGACTTTTGAGCATGCATGAATAAAGTGTTCGTTTCCTTCATATATTTCATTGTAAATATCGTTATAGAATGAGGTTTTCCACACGACACTTTATTTTTTCTTATTTCTTGGTTTGTTAATAATATTAGTTATAAAAGAATGGAAACATAAGTTGATATTTCGCCGCAAAGGAAATTTCATTCTGAAGAGGTATGGGGAACACACTTTTACATGTACAAGTGTAATTACTTCAAAATTACCATTATATTCATAAATTTTAACAGTAGATATATAAAAAAAAGAGTTAATTCTAGGAATCTAATATTTATTCTTTGATCCTTGTCCTCTTCAGAAAAAAACTGTAGAAACATATGTTTCGGATTTACATAGCCATGTTGTATCTGTTTTTCCACAGGTATAAGTAGTTATGTATAATATCATGATCTATTGTAAAAGTCTAAATGTTAGGTTAAAGTTAATGAAACTAAAACGAGAGAAACCACATGAGAGAACATTCTTTATTTTAAAAAAACATTAACAAGAAATTACTTCAATCTGCTCCTTGAAAATTTCTTCTCTGTGGGTAATAGCTATAGGAATTTCTATAGCACTATCATGAAATTACTTGTAGACAAATTACAATGTTGCAATTAATTACATCTTCGGCAATGATTCAGACGTGCATGCACCGCGGCTGCAAATTTAAACAAAGGTTGTAAGAAACAAGAAGTAACGTTACGTGCTTAATGTGTTGTATTATTCCCTAAATGATTTGAAATCGATAAGAAGTCGGGACCTACCATGGTTTATTTTGCACCAGTAGTTCACTATCAGAGCTGATAGGCTGTCGGCGCTATATTTGGTTCTTTAAATTGAAGAGAGACAGTTAACTGGCTATTCATCACTGTACTTTGGTTTCTGAAACCGTACCGTTGTCTTCAATTAAATGTATTAAATGTGAGTGCTGGAGACTATCAACACCCACTCTCTACCATTAATGAAATGAGAAAAAGCTCAATGGGTCAATATAATAGAGCGTATTTCCGTACTCGTATTTTTACAATCTTTCAAGTTAAGAATTTTAATTTATTACACTCCTACGTATGCCGTTGACTCCATGTTATCTTAGTAGGAAGTATTTTGTGCTATATGTAAAATGTACCATTTTTAATTATCATAATCATTTTATTATATTTCTTGTCAGTAGTAATCATAAGACCTAAATCCAGTTCATTGTAAAGAGTTGGCAAGTACTCGTATAATTAAGTTTCCAAAATTTATTTATTTATATTCAAGTTTTCATAAAAAATCATTTTGAAAATACAATGTAATGTTCAAAATATTTTAGGTCTCAATGCCAGACAAAAATAGAAGAGAAAGGATAAACAACGGCATGTTGTACCGGTGTGTCATTGTGAATATCAAGCTTCGTGACACGTTCTGAGTAGGTACACCAGAATTTCCACTAGAACACACCCAGCCATCCCCGTCCAAATCCAGTGAGTAGATTTTCAACAATACACCTGTATATACTAAGTGAACTTATATAGCGCGCCTCTGGAATGTAATCCTGTGCCAATTAACTGATAATCGTTCAAAATGAATTACATAAAATCGCCACGTGAGTTTTATACCTCTCGTTATTGACTCTGACACAAAGCTTGAAAATTCCACAGCCTGTCATGTTTTTTCATCAAACAAAATCTATTGTAGAGATGTTTTACCTTGGTTCGCATTCTAAACAGATATGTGTATATGTGCTTCATCAAAATTATCTTTTTCAGTAGAATATTTTCATAATTTATATTCTATACAGTCTGTTCACCGACTTGCCCTGCATATACTTACTGAAATAAAAAAGATGCACTTAATTCTGATTAATTACTGTGAAATATGGTTAGTCAAGATCTTTCTAAAGAAACAAAATATTTAATTGGGGCATCTGCCCCGAAATAGCCCCCAGATTTTGTTATTTTGAAAAGAAAATCTTGTACAGGATTAGAAGAAATGGCTGCGTTTAGTTTGAAGCAATTTAAACCTTGATTACATCAAAGCAGAGAATCGGTATTGCCTGGCATATAACATGATGATTTACTTTATCATAGGTGAAAAATGAAATGTTCGGGTGGTAATTTCTTGTTATCTACATTTAAAAATCCAGTCTGGATGAAATCTGTGCAGATGTGGAGGCGAAAACAAAGCCGTATCCCCCTATCTCTGGCCCGAAGTCTAAATAAATCAGCCACTGAAACAGTTGTAAAACTAAATGCACATTTTCCAGGGTTAAATCAATTTATTTGATTTCGAATATTATAGAGACACGCAATTTTATTCGCACAATTAAAGATTTGTAATGGATTCTGAATTTGGATGCATTAAGTTTTTGGTCTTTGTATCACCGTTGCTGATGGGTCATTTGACGCAATCGATTAACCTACTGAATTGGAGAAGTTGACAGAACAGAATCAGCAGCCAGCGCACCTGCTGACCGCGAGCGGTACCTATATATACTACAACGGAACCGTCTCCTGGCTAGGAAGCCGCCAATGAGCTTCAACTGAATGTCTATAAATTGTAGACTTTTACTGTAAAAAAATCATCATCTGAAATTCAATAGACAATTCATTTAATAAATCATGGCTGGATTACAGCAGTTTGTGGGTTCATGGCAAGAAGTGACCAAGGAGGGATTCGAGGAAATGGCTGATGCTTTAGGTAGGTATATATTGTATTTTTAATTGTCAGAAAGTCATATTAGGCAATTTTGAAAACTCTAGTTATTATTACATGCTCTCGATTTCTTAACTTAAAATTTTTAAGATTGCAAAGTAATGTGCCGTGATGTTAAGACATGGATCAGAAATTTAGAAAAATCAGATTTTGAATTTTGACAATGAGATTTGACTTTGAGGTTCCAATACCCGTAAAATTCTATAGAGACTTTGGTAATCCTCTCACTAGTTTCGTCAGACGTTATGCGAGGAATCCGGATCAAAGATTTTCCTGGCATTCTTGTGCTGGTAGTATGCAAGAATAACGTAACCTGTCATCTTCTATCAGCAACAAATATCATCAACGCCTATCTCTTGGTAAAGAACTAAAGCATTGCATGTAATTACATCAAAACAAAACAGAGACGGTGAATAATTCAGAAAATAAGATTTTATATTAATGTATAATAAACTCACCGATTTCATCAACTGATGACTGTTTTTCCTTATTCTATTTTGACCTTTTTTCTTCTTTGCCCTTTTTTCGGCAATGCAACTTTTATTTTATTTTTTTTTTAATGGCGATGTACTACATTTTTTTCTTGAAAGTATGCATTTTTTCGATTATCAAGGTATAATATGGACAGATTCCAGATGTTTTGCTGTATGAATAGAGCGTGGATTAATATTATCATCCAATTTTGTTTTAGTTAACTTTTTTTTTTATTTCTTTGAAGCCCAACTTTAATTTTCTAAATTTTTATTTTATGATCCATATAATACTGAAATTTGATTCAAACTTTAAACGAACTTAACTTTGGCTGGGAAGAAAGAAAACAATTTAAAGGGTGTGTTGAATGTTGTATCTTTAATTAACACGTCTTCAAATACGGATTGTTAGACTACAGTGACAAATAGAAAACGTCTTTTAACGTAGCGTGATTTAAAATCCACAATTCATGAAATGAATGCTATTAGAAATAATAATTTTATTGTGTTTATGTATTGCATAACAAGCACAGTCATATATTTATTTTAATGAAAATGAAATCACAAAACACACAGAAATGGGTCTTTTTGAATGATGATCATAAAAGTGGTCGACACTTTATTTGTGTTGTAGTCGTTCGGTCCTCCAGAAAAGCAACAGTGATACGGACTTTTTTCTCGCTATATCTGCAAATAGTGTATTCAAGTGGACACTATTTCTGAGCCCCGAAGGAAAAGAATTGTTCATAAAGGGATCCAATCACAGACTGTATTTTGCGTCCTCTCCAAACTGAATTTTATTATAAAATATTCAGGGTAACTTCGATATCTTTAGAGTTGCTTTTATGGGACTTTGTACCCCTCTAACCTCTTTAGAAGCCTGCTTGATATAAAGTAAACTTCATGGATTTTTCTATATCCTCTCACACTTTAACATGACAATTGCTCTTTTCTAAAAAATTAAAGTCAGTAACAGGGAATATTTTCCCTCACTTCAACATACCTGCTTCATAAAAAAAAATCACCATTATGGGTTTTAATAGCTGTTTTGAATAAAGTCACTTTAATAGTTCTTTTTATTCCCCTCATACTTCAAAAGCTCGCTTTATATAAAGGTTGAAAGAATACCGGTATATTTAGCCTGTACCTTACAACGTTAAGGGCAAGAGGGAACCATGATTTCGTCTACTGTGGATCTTTGAATGCAGTGGAGCTCCATAAACACGTTATATTTGAGAGTCACATTTATTGCAATAGAGCTTTTTTGATATCAAAGACAAGTGCTTCTTCAATGAAAATGGAACTGATTTTTTGTGATTGGTCATCAACAAAGTTACTGTCGATGTTTAAACCCACTCTGATTTTACATAACAGTACTCTGAAGTTGATATTAAGAGGATGCTGGATCCCGATTTCCTCATTTACGTAGTCTTCGGAGAAATTTTTCAACAAACCGTCTGAATACCATAGGCACAAATTATGCTCCTTTAGATATACCGACGACGTATTGTCAATGAACATTGGTAATTTCCATTCCTATGTCGATACGATATAGTGAGCTTGAGATAAAAGATATCTCAGAGTCTGACACATCAGTTTCATACTAGGATCTTTTACTTGAAAAAGACGTTAATGGTAATCTAACAACCAAGCTCTATCATAAACGTGATGACTTTAACTTTTCTATCGCCAACTTCTCTTACTTATGCAGCAATATACCTTCATCACCTGCATACGGCGTTTATATTTCAGTTTATTCGTTACACAAGAGCATGCTCTGCGTATGAACAATTTCTAAAACGAAGTAAATTATTGACAAACAAGAATATCAGCAGTCTCGTTTAAAGTCATCATTTCGTAAATTCTTTGGTCGATACAACGACCTTGTCAGCAAATACAATTCATCATTGAGTCAAATGTTGACTGTCGTTTTTCATACTAATTGTTAGTCCATTATTTATACACTGAATTGACGACAGGTTTTTTCCGTTATTTCCCGATCATGACAAGGAGCACACGGCGGGTGAACCCGGTCGGCAGGGGATGCTCAGGGGATCCTCCATGGCACTTGCTAGTACTTCTGATGTTTTTGAGGTCTGTGTTTGCTCTGCTCCTATTTTGTATTGTTTTATGGACTTTGATCTTGAATACTGTTCGTTATCTCCATATCTTTCACTCCTTTATTTCCCAACTTATGTATATACCTATGAAGCAGAATACATTTTGAAAAAAAAAAGTTCTGTATGAGACTAAGAGAACACTTGCTATGTCCTTTAACTCGTCACTCAGATAAATTTACGATGTATTAGCAATTAAAATACATGTTGTTACTTCCATTCATGTAAAGATTCTGTATATCCTCAGTGAACTTCAAATAAAAGACACCACAGATCTAGGGTCTGCCACATCTGTATTTGGATTTTTTTTTACTGACTACGGACAATAAGGACTTACTTACAACTAATTTGCATGATAAACAAGATGCCTTCAGCTTTTTAAATTTTCATCGAGAGTTTTCTTTATTTATGTAGTAATATTCCGCCATCACCTGCATATGTAACTAAAGTCTCCCATCTATTTTGATACCTCCAAACTGCCCATATTACGATCATTTTTAAACCGAGGTAAGCTATTGACATATACGTTGATAGTACAGAGATTTCAGTAATCTCGATTTAAGTCGTTACTTTGTACATTCTGTGATCATTATTATGAAATAAACTTGTCAATGTTCAGTTGTATTTTGGCTGACGTGTTTCAGACCATTTGTTCTTTGTGTTTTTTTTTGTTTAAAAATAATTATGGAAAGTTTCGTAGTACTGATCAATACACAGGTCTCCCGGTTGGTATGACCAATCAATACCTGGATGCTAACGCCTCCTATGCACCTGATCCCACCTCTGGAATTATGAAAGGTCCGTATTTTTGCATTGGACACAGCTTTGTATTGTTTGCAGATTTTATTCTAAAATCGATCACTGATCGTTATTATATATTTTCAAATATGTACTTCTTCACAACATTCAATAACATGTTATGAATGTATTGTCTAGCGTGCCAGAGTGATTGCCTGAGACCTAGCAATACTATCTCTGTAGATTACCATCACTTTTGACTATTACGTTACCTAATGTGCATAAAAACTAACATTAACCGAATTCCTGCATACCAGCACCACAGGGATCGATCGCCATTCCCTTCTTATGGAATTTTACTACGATGACAAGTCGCATCGTGTTCTGATCTTCCGTTCAGGTCAATGACTACTTTCGGCTTCCTGATTACATATTTTTTACTCAAAGTGAGGACAAGGAATCATTTCCTTAATCATGTTAATAATATCCCGTTAGCTAAAGAAAAGGTTATGTTTGGCCAATTTACAGCTCCAACGTTCTTCTTTTGCAAATTAGTTAAATTATAGACAATACTAAGATATTTCTTCGTTTCCCAACAGCAAAACTTGTATACATTTATTTTTTTGTCCTTTTTTTGTCATTTTAATCTTGCAAAAAGTATAAAAATTATTTCTTTTCATAATGAATAATTTATTTTGGTATGTCTGTTTGAACGATTATGCATGGAAACTACATACAAAAACATATACTAGTATCGTACATATATTGTAAAGGTACTCTTGTTATCCCGTATAAATATACGTTTATTACTTTAAAAAAAACCCAAAAGAACAATTGAAGGTGGGATGTGATGTATGTAACCATTAGGGATTTTTACCCTATCCCTAGTGGACAAAACGGAAGTTCTATAGTTGTTTCATTGTACTTTATGATGGCAGTCTGTCAACGTTACACTCACTTTAAGCCCAAACAACGCAAAGTAAAGGACAGGAAATCAATAGATAAGGACATTTAGTGTAGCTTTCTCAAGTTTTAGAACCATTTCCTTGCCTACAGACTTATTCTTGTTAAATTAAGGTCAGGTATTTTTATATACTGTAGACGTACTTTTTTCCGCGGGGTCATAATTCAGTGGAATCTCTATTTCTGTTTAATCCGCGGGTAGAAAAATTACGTGGATTTTCTTGACTGTCACTATATGCTTTACATTTATATTAAGTACGCTTGGACAAATTTCCGTGTATTTACGAAATGCGATGAAAAAAAATGACCTTTAAGTACAAGCGATAGTCTTGCTTGGCTTTTGCAAGGAAAAACTTTTCTAAATATATATTTAATTAATAAGAATTTGTGTATAGTAAAACATACAAAGTTAAGTTATTTTGTACAAAGGAATTTCTTGAATTGGAGATACTGCATACACGCTCAGAAAACTATTGGCATAAAAATAGCACAGACGTGATGTAAATTTAATTTGATGAAGCATAGATTACATGGGCTAGGTGATCGAAGTTGAGATGCATGCTTAGACTTAATAATAGTCTACCAGACGCTCAATTAAATTAAAAGCATATTGCTCCCTCCTGATACACAACAAATGATGCAAAGACAATAGAAGCTAGGAGACTAAAAACAATTTTTATCACAGCAGGGAAATCTTTGATAAAAATGGTTCGATCTCCAAAAGAGAAAACTAAGGAATGTTTTCCTAATCTATAACTATTGGAAGAGTCACGTCTCTACATGCAGTGCTATGAAATGTCATCTTCATAATGGATCCAAACAAGATGAACGCAATTGATACAGATACACGCAGATAAAATTTTGATGCGTCTCTGACATCAACTGCAAATATTGGGTTTTTTAATATCAAAAAAGCATTGGCTTAATCAGAAGTATACCTTTATGTTTTATTTTTCCGCACTTATGAGAAATAAAAGATCAGGTCCCCATTTTTGTGTTTATAAATTTCATGTAGTAACCATTTAGTATGTTTCTTTCTTTATTTATATTTCATTCATTCCAGTCATGATATATAGTTACATAAGTCGAGAACGACCATGCACATGATAAAATACTCATCAATAATTCAAAAGAACATTATCTATTAAAGATTCAATAATCACCAGTGACAAAAAGCGTACCAAAATAAATAACACAACCAAAGGCACATAAATATTTTATCAAATATTTACACACCAAACCACTAGTGTATTAATATAATGATATCGATCAGTGATCATGTCAAAAAATCCACTGAAACAATAAAAATCAGAAGCAGAGCACAGACATCTGAAAACATGAGAGATGGAATCAGGTACCATGGAGGAGTAAGCATCTCTGGTCAAATGGTTACACCCGCCTTGTGCTCCTTGTCATAATCGGGTAACAGAAAAATAAGTAGAAAATTCAGTATTTTAAAATAATGGCTCAACAATTTGTATGAAAAACGTCATGGCTTAACAATTTGCATTAAAAACGTCAAAATTCTATTAAATGATGAATTGTATTTGCTGAGAGTCGTGTAATCGACCATAGAAGTTGTGAAATGGCGTTGAAATGTAGAATCTGAACGATATCATTGCTTATATCTGTTTCACTTAGATGTGTCTTCTGAAGGAAAGGAAGTATGAGTAGGGAGGGTAATGGCTTTTTCTAAGATTTCATCCCTAGGCAATACAGGATACAAGATGAAACCGTTCAAAACCTTTAGAGAAAAATACGATAAAATTAAGAAATGTACTATTTCTGAACTTGTGTACAATTGAAAAAGTTGTGTCAATTAGTATACAAGTTTGATAAATTTAAAGGGAGAAAAACTAAGTGGAAGAAGATAAATTTTTGGTTTAAACAATATTTATTCAATATAAACTGAATAGATTGGGCAACAGGCTTAAAACCTATAAATACCCTCTCTATAAAGAAGATAAATTTGAGTTACTTATCTCCATCAGGTCATTAAATAATTAATTAATATGTGAAAAAAATTATCCCCATAAAAAGCGTGATACTACAGATATATATGTAGTACTGACTTAAGGGAAAAGGCTTCTTAAAAATATAAATATATATATTATGAAAGTTTAAAAACAATTTTGTAGGCAAAAGTGTTATTCAACAATTTTCCCTATCAAACTAGTTTTTCCCCATCCTGCCCAGAGCTACTCCTTTATATCTTTTGAAATTCAATAGTTAGATATGAATATGCTATAATTGTACCACGTTATTAAAGTTATTAAAGCTAAATCAATGGCATCCCACTGCCTACGACTTTTCAACAATTTCCTACAAGGTATTTAAGAAAGGACTTTTTTTTTACACAATAGAAAAATGCCTCTGAAATAAAAGTGTAACTTGTAAATTTGTCATTGGTCATCTGCAAACCTTTTTTGTTAAAAAATGTTGATTCTACATACAAATGCTCCGATGTTGACCTTTAAAAGATGTCGGAGTTTTTTAGTCAAAATCTTTGTGGTTTTGGTTGACCAGATCCTCCAATAATTCGCTTGTGTTCTGCAAGGATCTAATAGTGCCTTGTTATTGACATGTATGTTTTTGCTTCCACATAAAGTATAATTTATTCAAAGAATGAAGAGAAATCTCTTGCTTTTGCATTCGGTTCGACATTAAGAGATACATGTATCAGAAATTTAGATGTCAAAGTTTTATTCCTTTGGTAATTTGATTTATCCCATTGAACTTGAAATAATACACCACAGAGTCTGACACATATTTTTAGTATCTTGGTAGTTTACTGGAGGAACACATTGATGGAAAACTGAGAACAACTTGACTTGAAGGTTCTATCGTCAATCGACCCTATTTATTATTAATTATTATCATCTATTAAATACACATTTATGCAGTTTTTGTTTTTAAGATGATTCCCCTTGTCTGTGTTCGATCTTCAAATTTTGTTTATGTGGAATTTTGAGAATGGTAAGTGGTCGTTTTCTTCAAATTTTAATTCAAGTATTCTTCAGGTAAAAATGACAATCACCAACCTTTCATGGAAAAAATTTCTTACAGAGACAATTTGAATTAATCTGACAATGACCATGTATTAAAATAGATACCAGAGTTTATCTAAAATTAAAATCAAACAGTAAATGGTTTATTAGTATGTTTCTTTTAGGCATAAAGTTTAATTTGCTTATTTTTCAACTTTGAAAGACAATCTTTCAGAATACTTTTTCCGTGTCATAAATGAGTCTTTTTAATGAAGACTTTTGAATATGTTGACTACATGATCAGTTATTTAAAATGTTAATATTTGAATTACAAGTACAGTGTAATAGGTCGCATTTTTGTGCAAAAGTATATCTGCAATACACTGAAAGACCTGCAACAATACATAGATGAAGAGTTTAACGAACGCTAAAAAAAGAAACAATGGACTATATCTTTTGAAGCCCACTGGAACAGAATGATCAATTCCTAGTACTCAGCTCAGTTGCATGAAATACTAGTAAGAACAATTGCATACAGTGTATTTTGTTTCACCAATAAAATAACAGCATATTTAGCATTCCACCCAGGTTTGTTATATTTGGAAATATTCATTGATGTACAGAATAAAAATCATTGTCACATTTCTGTTTCTGGGCTTATGGGAGTGTCAATTTTTGTCTGATAATACATCATGATCCATATAGATATAACCATATTATTGTTGTTATTGTTCCCTAAGTATCAAATCATTTTGTCTCTGAAAAAGTCTCTCTAATACTTAATACAATAATAATAGATCTAAAACCTGATATATCTACAATCATTCCGAACAACGAATAAAACCTTAAACCACTGAGCAAATAAAAGTTCGAACACAGACATTTAAGACATTTCACTCAGATAGCTAAACCAGAACATTGGGAAATAAAATGTGTTCGGAAGAAATGTTTGAGCGCCACCATAAAAATACCCTGCGTCACGTGACTTTTATAATAAATCACATGTGCAGTGTTTAAACAGGTTACTTAATTACTTCTTTTGTTTACCTTGTGATGTCACATGATAAATACAACAGTTTCGACTACCGACAGTTACGACGCATGTACAAGTATTTTGCTAACACAGTTTGTGTCTTTGTTGTTATTAGTGGTCTTCAATTTTTTCTTTCATTATCATTTGATGGTTAACTTATCTTAATATAGCAATGTGTTACAATTTTCAATTGATGATATAAAGATTTCTTGGAAATATTACTAGCGGTGTCACTAGTGTAGGATCACTGTAGAAATCAAATGTTATTCTAGAATTTATCTATCATATTTATTGTAATTGGGAAAATTGAAAACACCATTAATTTAAACAAAATTCAGTTGTATTTGACAGCTGTTACGACATACAAAAAATCCTATTTCTTAACAAATTTTAATATAACTTAAATATAACAATGTAACAATGGTTAGAAATAAAAATTCTTAAGATTCAAATTAAAATGTTTAAAAAAGAATCACATACACATAAGTCTACTTTGTTGGCTAAGTGTAGGATAAGAATTTGTGAACCTGGAACTCAGAGATTTTGGGGTTTTTTTTTTGCGTTCAATTCTTCTTACAGCATGTTATTTTCATTATGATTTAAGTACGGAATAGAATTCCATAACCATCGTCTTTTCTTTTATCAATAGTGCAGTCTTATTAAACTTCAAATAGGACACACGTTTTTCAACTCATTCATAAAAGTCAGAAATGATGAATCACAAACAACAGTACTTGGAGTATTGAGATAACACCCCAAAGGATCCGACACGTAATTGACATGGAAATTAGCATGTGGCATTTACTGTTTTGTTGCCAATTTTCGGTACCATTCTTTGTTTTAAGTTTGTTTGTATATTCCTTTTGTACTGACTTCTTTCCCCTCTTCGTTTGATTTTTCAGAGTGCAAAAAAACCCTCAAAAAGTGCATTAAAAATTCTGTACAACTCGTTGAGACTTGTAAGCGTAATAATCTTTTGTAGAGGCCTAGTATGCAGGCCCTTCTATACAATTACCGAAAAAAGGGATTTTTGAAGAGAAGATTGTACTCAATATTACCTGGTTATGTCTGAAAATTTATAAGCACCTCGAACACAGATCAAGTACTACATAATTCAAACAAAACATAACATATTGAGAATTACCTCTCAGAAGAGGCAATACATGCAATAGTAGAAACAAATGTTAAGTGACTTAATCTGCATCAGAAAATTAAAAGACCACACACAATCGTTGCATACACTCATGCACATCAGATTACATCACAGCATTGATAAATATTTTTTTTCAACGTGCACCTTAAAGAATTAGCTGTTTTATAATAGTGTTTGATGTTTACAGGTTTACCAGCTGATAAGAAGCAGATGTACCATGATGCTAGGACCACTATATCGTATGCTGTGAATGGGGACACGGTGACCATCAACGTGGGTCTGGTAGGGGCACCTGCTGGAAGACAATTTACCTTTAAGTTAGGGGAACCTTACGACTCTGCAGACTTAGATGGTTCTCCTATGAAGGTAGAAATAAACGATAATAAGAAATTATCTCATTATCTGTTTTTAAAAATTTACTTGATTGAAAAAATCTACAACATTATCTTCAGCAACCTTTATCAACAATAATCTTTATCTTACATGTATATAAATGATTTGATTTTATGGGTGTGTTTCATCATCTGTTATTCACATTTTATCAAAATCTGTTATTCACATTTTAAAAAATGCAAAACCGGGTGCCAGCAAATATTATTATAAATAACACGTGTAAAAAATGATTTCAAAATATTTTTTTTCTTTACAGAGTCTTGTCAAATTAGAAGGCGATAAACTAATAGAGAAACATACAAATGAGAATTTACATGGAGCAGAAATGAATATTCAGCGCTGGTTAGAAAACGACACCATGATGGTGGTATGTACAGGATGAAAGTATTTTGCAAAATGGTGAAATAAAAAAATAGTGATTTTATGGGATGATGATTTAGGATAGGATAATGGTGGTATGTATTCGAAGATGATGATATGCATGAAATAAAAAAATAAAGTGATTTTATGGGATGTTTATGATACTGGTGGTAGGAATTGCATGATGTGTAGGTACTTGAGGTTCCATGTATTGAATTAGGCCAAAAAAGTCGTATATTATGGAAATATGATCAGAGTTTTATTTCAAGGCTTTTATTCAACAGTTAATCTTTTTTGTTTCAGCAAACCACTTGTAATGGCTTGTCGATGTTATCTAAGTACAACAAAGTTGCTTGACCATATACCTATATGTTTACATCTCTAGCGGAAAGTGAAAACTGACCAAGCACAAATATCACATGTCGTGATAGGACAATTTTCCGAGCGATTCTATTCATAATAGATGTTGTGTTTTGTGGTACATTGAATGTCCATTGCTTTATATAAGATGCCGAGGAGGCGGTCCAGTTTCAGTGTCTGCTTAAGGCACATTGCATTCATTATGTGTGTAAACATTTTGAAATAAAGGGTATAAAATACCATTATAATAGTGTGGTTTTATTCAACACAAATAAAAGTTTGCGAAAATGAGTCGATGTTCTCAGATTTGTCTTTCTGCTAAATAATAACACTTGATTGATTAGAGCTATGGCTTTCAGATATCACAAGTCTATTCCTTGTGACAATACTTTCTGTTGATGTCAACACATTCATTTGATCTCTGGACCTTGCAGTTTGAGCCAGTTTTGCAAAATTTAAAGCTTAAACCCTGACCATAACTTTTGAACGGTTGGGGCTCAGGCTTTCATACTTCACTTGGGTTTTCCCTAGTCATAAGGACGTTCCTTTAGGTACAACTATTTTTACTTAACATTACAGTTTGAAGTACATGTACACTTTTAAAAACCACAAATTAAATGACCTTGTCAGCAAATACAATTTATCATTGAGTCAAATGATGACTGACATTTTTCATACTAATTTTTAGGCCATTATTTACACACAGAATCGATGACGGATTTTTTTTCTTATTTTCCCTATCATGACAGGGTGCACATGGCGGGTGTGAGCGGTCGATAGGGGATGCTCACTCATCCATGTTACCTGATCCCACATTTGGGGGTCCGTGTTTGTTCCGCATTTATTTTGTATTGTTTTATGGACTTTTGAGATTGAACACTGTTCGTTATCTTGATATATTTCATTTCATAGGTGTATCTTTTATGACAAAGAAAGTCATCCCATAGATAGCAACAATTTTTACTCTTTGACCTTGAACTTGAAATTTGGGCTACCAAACTTTAACCTTTGCAATAATTTTTGAATGGTTTGCTTGGTCTTCTATATCTTACATATTATTCCTTGCTACAAGATCTTCCCTGTTACGCCTTTAATTTTTACCTCGACCTTAAATGTTTACTTACTTTTGAAAAACCTTAAATTTGGACTTAGAATTAGAGCACTTTGGTGCTAAGACTTTCTTTTTTCATAGGAGTTTTTTGTGACAATACCTTTGGGGGGGGGGGGTACCATTAATTTTAAGTTCTTGACCTTACCGGTACCCTTCTAAGTGAGCTGCGATACGTGGGGACAAATATTTCACAAATGAATGTTTTTCTCTGTTTTAAAATTAAATATTTTTTTGACTTTAATTCTCTAATTATAATAATAAATTCTGGCAACAACATCACTTCGTTTTAACCTAACACGAGTTATCGTTCATTGCAAATCCATTTCTGTGCCCTTGTAATTAATTGAATGAATCAAAATGTAATGAGTATATTTTATTTTCATGTGATATTTTTTCTCCTTTACTAGTATTTCTTATGAAAATCGTATTATATTGCCATTAGCTCAACAAATAATGTCTGATTACTTTTCATCCAATAACTGGTCTCTCGTTTCGAATCGGCTGAGATATATAAATCCTGTGTGCAAGTGATGAAGATATATATTGCTGCATAAGTAAGGGAAGTTGACGATTGAGAAGATTATTCATAATTCAAAATGAGTGTCAAAGAGGTAAAAAGATAAGGAAATAGAGGTTTTAAGTTGTTTTTTTTTTAACTTTCGCTCATTGAAGATTTTGTAGCAGTCGTGTCATTAAATTTGGGTCAAATCTCGTATTTATCAGAGGTGTAGTGTTTCATTCTTCTTCCATTGAGATAATTGCATTTTGTATACCTTCATCAATATTAACGGGACATTAAATGAAAGACAGCTACAAATATTAAAAAAAATGCATTTGTTGTGTTAAAGAGGTACGCTCCTCAGCGTTTGAGCTGATTTTTATCTTGACCTCTATTTTGAAAAATTATAAATAATATTTAAGTTTTTACAATGAATTTGGATTCTTTAAAAGTAATTAACCTATATTCAATTTAAACCCAATGATTAAATTTCATACTGAAAACGTTTAGTGAGGAACTATATTTTGTGGCGGAAGGTTTTTTAAGAAGGAAAAGACCAGTTTTCCTCCTTCTGAAGTATTTTTGGATTTCTATTTTTATATGCAACCTGCACACAGAGTAATTTTGTGCAATGAAATTTTCTATGTTGATCCTAAATTATATAGCAAATTAACTTTCATGAATTCTATCATCATATTTTGCAAATGTATAAATATATCGTGAAAATTCCTATAGCCCAATTTAAACTTTTAAAAATTAATGTTTTTGTAATATCTAAATATTGACAGCACAGACCCTCAAATTTTATTTCATTTTATGAAAATATAAGATAATTTCAACATTCTGCTTAAATTCAGAAAAATGTCATTACTTTCAAATGATTTTCTTGCTTTTTGAATTTTAACTCCAGAAAAATAACATTTTTCGAGTGCAGAAAGGTTGACTATGCGAAGTAATTTGAAACTATTTTTGTTGTCACAAATTCTAATGTGACTATTCAAGATGAAAAAAAGACTGTTTTTGTTCCAATAATTTCAGCAGTCTCGTTTAAAGTCATTATTTCGTAAGTTCTATGGTCGGTACAACGACCTTGTCAGCAAATACAATTTATCATTAAGTCAAATGCTGACTGACATTTTTCATACTAATTGTTAATCCATTATTTATACATTGAATTGACGGCGGATTTTTTCCGTTATTTCTCGATTCTGACAAGGAGTACACGGCGGATGTGACCGGTCACTCCTCCAAGGCACCTGATCCGACCTCTGATGTTTCGGAGGTACGTGTTTGCTCTTCTCCTATTTTGTATTGCTTTATGGACTTTGATATTGAATAATGTTCGTTATCTCCATATCCTTCTTCCAATAATTGATATGGATAAAAGAATTAATTAAAGGAAAATTTATTTATGTATTAGACGTACTTACAGTGCAAAAAAGTCATATTTATTGCTCCGTAGTGCTAATAGAATATATCTTAAGATAGTTCCCTCACTTTTGCCATAAGTCAACAAAAATGTCAGGAAATTTATCTTTAAAAAAATATAAAAGATGAAATCTAATGCTTTTTGAATCATTGAAATGCCATGCAGAAAGATTTTACAAATCATTTTTCTCCCATGTGTTTTTAAATGCTAATTGTGACCTTTCATTTTCCCGTAGGCAAAAGTTACAGTATTTTTTTTTGAATTTTCTTTCAGAAAATATTGTCCACAGGAATTTTGACTATTGATTTTTTGTTGTTTTTTGCACAGCACTTTAAAGTTGTGTGGACAGGAAAATAGAAATTGGCTAACTCGATTTTTCTGAAAAATGCTAAATGACATTAATGAATTCTTTCTATTTTGGTTTATCACAGTCATATACTTAATTAAAATTCAAGCCAGTTTCAAAACTTTTTGATTACATAACATTTTTAGGGCACATTGAAGCTAAAACCATACCTTCTTCTTTATCTTTAAAAATATAGATAAATAATATTTCTTTGCTACCTATTCCTTTCTTGTAGGCAATACGTATTGTGCATTTTTGTTTTTAACAGTAAAATTAACATTTAATTGTCACAATAGAATCATTAAATCATTTTCTTTCTATTAGTCATTTATTTTATTTGATATGAAAGCTACCACTTTAAAAATTAACATTTAACTCACAAGAATCATTAAATCATTTTCTTAATTAGTCATTTATTTTATTTGATATGAAATACCACTTTAAAGAACCTTTCAAGTCAATTGTCAGAGAATAAATAAATTTCATCCCAAAATGCCAGAGGCAAAATTCTTATCCGTGTAATAGCTCACGTACTGCGAAGCAAGCATGTTGAATAATACAGAATTTGCTTAAATTTCGATGAACATGCATCTGCACCAACTGAAACAAAATTCTTTCCAATTTTCGTAATTAAATATCATAAAACAGCGGAACAACAACCTTGAAGGTACGCCTGTAAATTTTCACTCTCATAACCCAATATGAGAAGAATCATGAATGAATTGTTCTCAAATTAAAAGATTTTAAATGCAGAGGATTGTCTCTGACACTTTACTCCAGTATTTCAAGTTCTAGCACTTCAGTACAAATTTTAATCAAATGTTTGAAAACAATTCTGATTTAAAAAAACAAAATAATACATTTGCTGTATTGTAATTAATGATTAGCTGATGACCAGCAAATATTTAAATACTATTAAGGAGGAATATAAAAGAAACGGACTGACCGAAAATCATATAATAATTTATATTTCAGTCTCTAGAGGGGGACAGTGTAGTAGTGTATTATTGCCCTATTTGTCCTATTGTCTGTTGGTCCGCAAAAAAATAACCTTTACCATACCTCTTGATTAGTTGGATCTATTGTTTTTTATGTTTCACATGGGTATTTTTGTGACAGGTCGTTTCTTCCGGTGTCAACATATTTGAGTTTTGACCTTGACCGTGGAGTTTGACACTCTTTTGCAAAAATTTACCCAACTTCAACCTTGTCTATAACTTTTGAACTTCCATATGTCACATTGGTATTGATTGTTGAAAGACTTTTCTGAGGATTTAAATATTTTTTTTACCTTTTGACCTTAACCTTAGAGCTTGGTCCACTTTTAAAAAACCCTTAACCTTTGCCGTAACTTTTGAACAGTTGGTATTAGGGCTAACATACTTAACAGTTGTATATCTTGTGCCAAGACCTTCCCTTGAGTACCAACAGTTTTGGGTTTTTGACCTTGGAGATTAACCTATATCTAAAACGCTTTCTCATTGCATGTAGTAAAATATTTGATTATTTATCATGATTAAAGCTGAATCTTTTGAAATAATCGCTTACATTAAGAGGAAAAAAACTTTGAATGAAAAAAAAAGTTTTATTTACTTCTTATATGCCCAAATTTTTTTATATTGAAGGTTTAAATGGGCATTTCCCATTACGTCCCTTACTGATATCAATATATTTTTAGGAAAGTAAGCAGTTAAACAATAAACTACAATCATTCCGCTAGGAATTATTCCATATATGTTATACTCTGTGTGTTAAGTTAAAAACTCTACAATACATATCATACAAATAGCATTTGATAGCCATTATGCATCTTGTTCTATTTAAAGATTTCTTTTTTTTTTTTTAATTTTAGTCTCTACAAAC